TTTTCTCATTTGCAGTTGTCCAATTCTCTTCATGAGACATATTTTCCAGGCTCCTGAGTTGCCCTGCCCAGTTTATTTAATTAACAAACATTGCCAAATGGATATGGTTTTCTACTTTTATTAATAGCTGTATTTTTTTTTTCATTTATGGATCACAATGTCATTTTATCAGTGTACAAATTGCAGTTCATCTTTTCTAGAAGAATAACCAAAATAAGGATATCTATCTATCTATCTATCTATCTATCTATCTATCCATCCATCCATCCATCCATCCATCCATCCATCCATCCATCCATCCATCGTTTGGTGCAAACAACCTTGGATCTCTGCAGTCCTACAGGAAAAGATATGCATATACTCAAAGTTTTTGAGAACCAAAATGGCACAAATCTGTGTCCCTGGCGATACAAACCACTCCTGGATTTGTTCTTGCCCAAAGATACTTCAAATCTTTGGTCAAAATTGTTATAAGTAGCTAAAATTTGCAACAAATCCCGGTCTCTCTCAAAAGCCAAAAAAGGTTTATTGGAGATTTAACAGAAAGTTTGCTTGGATATTTCTTCAGTGTTCGCTCCCTGGTCATTTCCTTCTCAAAATGATTCAAAGCACCTGAAGGTTTCAGTAAAGGGATATAGTCAGGCTAATAATGCATAATCTTTTACCATTATGAGCCTCAATTTTAAACGAGTAGGGACATTTAACCTTCTCATTTCCTGCTGCATCTTCCTGACATACAGTACTTTCAAACACCATTGGTGTTAAAGCTGGACAGAACCAAAATCTCCTAGAAGATTATCAGACCAGGGAAGGGGGAACGGAGTGAAAGATAAACTCTGTTCCTGATATTTTGCCCCTGTATTTCCATTAGGAGACAACCAAGAATGGGAAATTCGACATTCTCATACAATGCCTATCTATGGCTTTAGCCACTGGCTAAACCAGCATCAAACTTGAGTTAAACAAGTCCCGACCTGCAGGAGATCATCCACACACTCCATATATTCTAGCTGAGCAATTACTAGCTAGGTAGCCCAGCACAAGTGTCCTGCTGGCCACAGGCCCATCTATAGTTTAAGCGTCATCATCATAACCAAACAACATGCAAAGACAAAGATCTTCTGCTGTAATGCTTCTTGGTGTCTGTTTTTCAAAGTAAACAGCCATGATCAGTAGCAGGATCCACTGAACTACAATGCCTTACAGCCAGTGGCCAGGGACAACATAACTGTAGTCTCAAGTATTTTGAGGACAAAGGTTCCTTCATAAATTTGTCTACTCTGTTTAAAGTCACCTCCCAAGTTATCAGCTATCCCACCTGTTATTCAACTGAATTCCTTAATACAATTGGAGTCCAGCTTCCCACACAAAGGCAGCTAAGTGAGTCGGGTAGGAAGAGGCAGAGAAGGTGAGGGGTTAGAAACGTTCTCCTTTTCCCGTTGTGGGCCCTACTGCTCAATCAAGAGCAACAGAAATCCTCTTGGCTTCCTGTGATGAGATACATGGATGTAATGTCACCAACCAGAGCTCAGCCACGTAGATTCCAGCTTGTCTCAAATAGAGAGTTTGATTAAGTAGTGGGAGAAGATAAAGAATGTTTGGAAAGCAAGCTGAAAAAGAGACAATCCAGAAAAGAGATGATCACCAGAAGAAAGCAGTTGCTACAAACCCCAACTGTATCCAGTTACTCTGGGTGCTTATTGACCGTTTTGCTTCTGTAACCACAATTTCATGTACTGAACTTCCAAGAGGCGGGCCTGCAGGACGGATTTTGGGTCAAAGGGGCTGTTGGCACGCAGATCCAAGTGATGAGCACCTTCCGGGATCACAATTGCAACTAGAGTGTCTGTGATGTTCTGGGTAACTCCACCTCCAGACCAAGGATCAAGTCCCCCATTGCTGGAAGAGAGTGAAGAAGGCAGGCATGAATGCCATACTTGAACATCAAGGAGAATGCAGAGAAACAAGAACAGCACAACAGTAGCATCTCAGATCATGAATCAGGCTGTTTCTCAGGGCATTTTTACCATGAACCATCTTGAATTATGACGTCAATGGTCAAGAATGAGAAGACAGTTTCTTCTGCATCCCCACAACACCTGATTATACTGTAGTTTTGCATAGGTTTAATTGAACAGCTTCTCTAGGAATCAACTGGATAGAAAAGTGAAGCATAAATATCATTAAATGCTAAACAAATTATAGGTTCAGTGTTTAAATAAGCAATGAAGGCTTCCATTTGCGGGGCCAGATGAAGATAAAAGGCCAACACAGTTCTTCTGAGAGAAGTGTCTAACATCTATTCTAGCCTTCTACATTAAAAAAAAAACAAAAACCTGGTTACTTTTTCATGACTTGTACCCATCACCATTGTAATTGCGTCCATCCATCTTGCTGCTAGTTGTCCTCTTTTTCTCTTTCCTTTCATCTTTCCCAGCATTATAGACTTCTCAACAGACCTAGCTCTTTGCATAATGTGTCCACAATACAGCAATTTGAGCCTGGTCATTGGTGGGGGAAAACACACCTACATCATGTCTGATATGCCTATTTACAACAGAAACTCACCTGAAAATGATGTTACTATGAGCACTAATGTTCTTCCCCCCATAAAGAGTGGGAATCCAAGAAGGGCGGGGTCGTACCCCCCAGGTTTTGAAGCAGTCTTCTGAGTACGTACGAAAGTCCCATTTCTGTGGCTCAAACATATCATTGATGCCATCTGAACACATGGGCATCACCATTTCAGTGCAAGCCTTGGAGATGAGGAGAGGAAACAACACAGATTAATTTCATAAGATTCTGGCTTGGAATAGTTGTGTCAGAGAGACGTGTTCATATTTGCATCTCTAAATTATGAGGTCTTAAGATGGACATTATCTGATCACATTACAGTCAGCTGTATCCTAAACCACAGAAAGGAGAACTGAATTGTGGGATTAAGCAGGACTGTACAACAAGAGGGGACTTTATACCACTAAAGAAACCAAGGTCAAATTCACAACTTTGTTATTGCTGATGAAAAAGCAAAATGTTGTTTCATATAGTCAACAAGTCATGGTAGTATTTGAGGCAGTTCATTAGCAACTGGGAAAAAATTATATTTGTAACCTCAAACTACCTCACAGAGTGAGATTCTCAGCAGAACAGCCCTCCCTGACTTGATTCCTATCAAATTCCTGGATTACAACTATTATAATCCTCAAACAGAAGGGCCACCTCTACTCTCTTCCTCACTGCTGAGAAATGCAGTAACTTCAGGGTAGAAACTGCCTTAAAATAAAAGCGAGATAATCAAATATATGATCCTTGTAACACACTCTATCCATCCAAATAGATTAATAAATAAGACAATCAGTTAAATTACAATATAATAGTTTTGAATTCTGATTCTCAATTTCACTTTACAAGCGAATCAAAACATTACAGTGGTACAAAGTCAACCATCTGGGTTTCTTTTCTGCTGAACTTCCCAAACTTCTAAAGCTCAGAAAATGCTCCTGATTTATTAACTGCAATTTGCATTTCAGACTTTTTCTCCTGCCCTTAATTTCTTCTCACTCCTCCTTGCCACAACCTGCTTGTCATTACTATATTTATAGAAATCAGACTGCACTCAACCTGTGCATCTGGGTTTTTAAGATTCTCTTTATAATTAATCCCAAAGGGTTGCCTTACATCATGATCCCCACTTCCCACCCCCCACAATTGCCATGGTGATTATGGGGCACACACCCACCTGGTAATACCAACCCTGAAGGCCCAGACTTTTAGTAGCAGTATGAGTTAAGTTCAGGCACGATGCCCGTCCTGTGTAGTTGTAGTAGATGTCTATAGCCTGGAAGATATTCTGGAGCAACAATCTGTCCGACAGTTTAGGATTTTTCAGGTATTTACAGATAGCCTGGGGAAGACAAAAGAGGAGAAAGGAGTTGAACCTCCCCAAAATAGCAGAGAGCTACACAGTCCAATCCTGCAGGGAGAAGCCTGTTGCTGACACATCTGCAAGTTAAAGGATTCTGGCTACAGAAATATACCAGCTTTTGTCCCCCAATAGTACAGAGATTTCATTTTTCTAGTTATCCTTTAAAAATTAAAAGGAGACTTAAGATGCTGAGAGAATTAAGAATGATGTGGACAGACATCAAATACTGATCAAGTACACCCAACGATACCAGTAGACAGCAGGTTCAGGATCAGATGAGCAAAAGCCTTTTTCATCTTTAAAACTCAAAACACATGATAGCCACAATTACGAGCTCTGATAACCTTTTCTAATATGGGTTAAACAGAACAGTACAGGTAGTCCTCGAATTGCGACCATTCGTTTAAAGACCGTTCAAAGTTACAATGGCGCTCAAAAAAGTGGTCCTTTACGACTGGTCCTCGCACTTACGACCATTGCAGCGTCCCCATGGTCACATGATCAAAATTCAGGTGGTTGGCAACCAGCATGTATTTACAATGGTTGCAGCATCCTGGGGTCATCTGATCCACATCTGCAACCTTCCCAGCTGGCTTCTGACAAGCAAAGTCAATGGGGAAATCTGGATTCGCTTAACAACCATGGTGATTCACTTAACAACCACAGCAAAAAGGTTGTAAAATCAGGCACCACTCACTTAACGAATGCATCACTTAGCGATGGAAGTTCCAATCCCAATTGTGGTCATAAGTCAAGAACTACCTGTACAAGATACCAGAGACTGCAGTAGCTGGTCCCTCTAGCCCAAGTGAAGCAATTCTTAGGGCCTTTATTTACTGATAAATAAAGATGGATGCCCTATCCTTCAAAACCATTTTTTCAGAGCAACTTCTACTAGTTTACAAATCAATGTTCATTTTTTTAAACACCAAAACAGTAATGAAATGCAACATATCCATAATAAAAGTGCACATATGAAGCGTTGTAGCATGCAATTAACAGGAAGGAAAGTTGTTGAGAAGATGGTCAGGTTGCAGTTGCAGAGAGCCATAGATAAAGCAGATTCTCTGGATTCTTGCCAGTTGAGCTTCAGTCCAGAACATAGTATGGAGACAACGTTGTCTGTGCTTGTAGATAACTTCTGGTAGAGCTGGGATGGGGTGGTGTGACCTTCCTGGCTCTTGAGATCTCAGCAGCTTTTGTTACCAGCAATCATGGTATTCTTTGAGGCACGCTATAGGGATTAGCAATGGGAGGCACAGTATTTGGTTGTCCTCTTTTCTCTTGGACTGGTTCCGGTTTGTGGGGGAGGGAGAGAGGTTGATCCTTCATCCCCTTATCTGTGGGGTGCCTCAGGGCTCGACACTCTCACCTCTCCTGTTTAGTATCTATAAGAAACCACTAGGTGAAGTCATCTACTAACAGGGGGGCCCAATATCATCAGGGCACTGATGGTACCCAGCTACATATCTCGAGTCCAGGCTGACCAAGTGATGCTAGCAAGTCATGTCTTTGGTTCTGAATGGGATGGCATTTCCCCAGACAGAACTGGTGCACAATTTGGGAGTCTTCGGAGAGGAGGTGGCAACTTTGGACAGGAGGGCCCTGGCCCAGATTCATCTGGTATACCTTTCCTGGACTTGGATTCCCTTCTCACAGTCACTCATGCCTTGGTTGCCTCCCATTTGGACTCCTCCAATAGGCTGCCCTTGAAAATCACTGCCACGTGGGCAGTTATGGTCATGCTTCAGTACACCTACATGATGCCTCTGCTGCACAAGCTGTACTGGTTACTGGTGAGCTTCTGGGTACACCATTCAAGATGCTCTAAAGTCCTTCAAAACGTAGGGCCTGGTTAACTGAGGAAGCATCTTTCTCACATCATTTCTGCCCACCTTCAAAGATCTGGCAAAGTGGGCATGTTCTGGGTCCCATCCTTTCAACCATGTCACTTGTTGGGTCCTAAGAAGCATACCTTCTTGGTTGTGGTGCCTGCCCTCTGGAATGTTGTCTCCCCAGAAGTTCACATTGCCCTAGCTTGGTTGTTCTTTAAGCAAGCCTTGAAGTCCTGGCTCTTTCACCAGACTCTGGGATAAGGGGGTGTTTTTGGATACCTATTTATTGATTGATTGGTTTCTGTCCATTTATTTATTTATTTATTGGTTTCTGTCCTTTTTAATTGGTATTCCGGTCTTCTGGGGGTCTTGTATTGGGTGTTTTTCATTGTACGCCATCCAGAGTGGGTGGAATGGGATGGCTCTATAAATTTGTTTAAATAAATAAATAATAGAGAACAACGTATTACAAACATCTCACAGACCACTGCATACTTCTAGGTCAAGAAAGCTCATTTACTCACTGTGGACAAAAAGTGTAATTTATCAGAGCATCGGATGAAATCCTTTGGGAGTCTCCTTCAAAAGAGACAGCAAAGGAAGGGAACTGGCAGCTAAGCTTGGAAATATTCATCAGACTAACATGTAACTAATTTTTCCCACATGATGGGCCAGGGGGGAGGATGTTGTAGTTTAATGCCTCTGCAGTTAGTGGAGAAGGTTGCCTGTGATCTAAGCAAGAAGGCCACTCTGAATTTTCCTTGAGGACAACCAGTCACATTGGAACATAAGATTCCATGATTATTTTGAGATCCTGATACTGAAATCAATCATTCTAGAACTTGGTTCATTATCTCAGTTGTTCCAGGTCCTACTCCAGCTCCCCAGGAAGAGAGCTTACAGCCCATTGTCAACAGTGGACAATTGGCCCTAGGCAGGTAACCCAGTGACTTGATTGAGCTGGCATCACAGTGAGGGAAGGGGAAACAGAATCCAAGTTGCCTTTGAGCCAAGTTTCAGCAGGGACTAACTGCCTTGAGGCTTAGTGAGTGGGGGAAAAGGTTAATCACTTATTAAGATGACTTCTAGCCTTTCCCAGTCGACCGAGTCCCTTCTCAGCTGGAAGACCAAGGATTTCCCAAAGCTTTTCTGCTACTGCAGATGGGCCATACGGAAGTTAAAGAGTAGCTTTAAGAGGCTGCAACTTTTATGAAGAGCAGTGGGGAGAGGGTGGGAACTGAAGATGGAGAGCCTCCCATTTCCCCAAGAGGACCATTCCCATCCCTGCCCCATGACTGAAGAGGATTAAACCGATGTATTCAGGGAGTTGAATAAATCCATCCTCCTAAATTCTCAATAGACCTCCCGCTCAAACTCAGAATAATCACATTAGTTTGGTCACTGAAAACCCGCCTGTTTCCTAATAAAGAAAAGAGAGGTGACTGGAACAAGCTTACGCCACCCAGTGAAGCTGCATACATTATTAAAAAAAAAAAATCAACAAAAGAGAAGAATTCCCTTCTTGATTTTAGCCCCCAACGGACTGGAATGTCTTGTGAAAGAATCTCAAAGGAAACCCCATCACTACCATTTCAAAAAACAAAAACAAAAACACCTCTTTATGAAAAGGCTGTAAGCACCAAGGACACCCAAAAAGCTAAAGTGATGACTGACAAATCTGAACAAATCAAGGTTGCTTACAGCAAGAAAATATTAACAGACCCGGAGCCTAGAACAGCACTGCTCAACCTTGGCAGCTTTCAGATGGGTGGACTCCAACTCCCAGAATTCCCCAGCCAGCTTGCTGG